GAGAGATTTAAACACGCATTATCAGATGAAACCTGGGACAGTGTGCATAGTACAGATACAAACGTTGCCTACACAAATTTCCTAAAAATCTTCTCTTCACATTTTGGCAAATGTTTTCCACTTACGGCAATCTCAACAAAGCGTCACCTTGGCATCGACAAACCTTGGTTTACAACAGGGCTGCGCAAGTCATCTATTAGGAAAATAGGCTATATAAGAAATATGTAAGGAATCCTACACCATTAATATTACAAAGATATAAAACGTACAGAAACAAATTTAATTGTCTGATTCGTATGTCAAAGAGGAAATATTACCAAGACCAATTCACAGCAGCATAAAATAATATAAGAAAGACCTGGAAAGTAATTAATGAAATTCTCCACAGGAAACAAGGAACAAATAATCTTCCTACCAAATTCCATGAACAAAATTCAGAGATATCTGATCCTAAAGATATAGTGGAAAAACTTAATGATTTCTTTCACGGCGGTCTGTCACTACGGCATTCTTTCCCATTGCTATGCGCGTTCGAAAAGGTATCGGGTTACAATACGCTATTTTGGCCTGTTTTGGACTACCCGTAAAATATTTGAAAATAAACAAATAATATTTAAGGGTAAATTTCGTCAAATTAAAATGAAATTATCGTCTTAACATCCTTTAAATGTTAGCTTTTTATGTTAAATCACTGATTTTTTTAAATTTCGCTCAGAAAGACGATTATTTTCGGGTTTCCGAGCACAAGTCATGTCACGTTTTTAGGCAAACATCGTTCAAACCTGGCTACGTATATTACCCCAGATCCCCGATTTTTATATTTTTCACAGACTAGGAATAAGATAAAAAATCGTGTTTTAGGGATTTTTTAATTTCTGATTTTAAGTCTAGTTTTTGTCGACATATTGGTGAAAAAATGGCATTTTTTGACATTTTTCTCACTAAATTACCCATAATTCAAAATTGAGGCCATTTTTCAAAAATCCCTAAAACACGATTTTCGGGACAACCGTTACAGTCATTTTGAGTCGTAAATGGGATATGTTTGACTCTCCATGTTTCCAGGTTTGAACGAGTTTTGGAGACATGTCATATCGCCAGAAAGTGTGCATTGTGTTATTCATACTGGCATAAAGAATCATTACAGTATTCAAGGTCACTCAAGGATACGACAGTAGCTTCGCTACATGTTACATGTCCACCAAAAATAATAGCGGACATGTACTGTCCCGGAAACTGTTTGTATCTATAGAAAAGTGTTGTTTTTTTATCTGTTGCAATGCACGGAGGCAGAAAGGTATGTTTTGCCGCTTTATAGTAAATGACCGCAGGTGACCCCGAAATAGAACGCGGGTTCGATTCGAATTCCCCAGATCGAACACGATCGAACACAGTTCGGGTTCTATGACATGTGGGAACTTTGCAGCCCAAATTTTACCACCGTGTTTGTCAACATTGGCCCGTCCTTGGCGAAAGAAATCGATATAACTGACCGTTCACCCTTATCATATCTCCAAGACTCTAGATCCTATCCACCTATAAGCTCTTTTGAGGCTCCTACATCGACAGAAATTTACGATATAATCACCAATTTAAAAAATTCAGCGCCAGGACAACATGAAATCAGTGCCAGTCTTTTAAAACAGATCGCTACAGAAATTTTAAATCCAGTAACACATGTATTCAAGACTTCTTTGGAAAGTGGTAAGGTTCCCTCTGATTTAAAGTCGGCAAAGGTTATTCCATTACATAAAGCAGGGGATCCGTGCGTATTTACTAACTATCGCCCGATATCACTACTACCAGTTTTTTCAAAAATCCTAGAAAAAAATCGTATATAAACGGATAGTGAGTCACGTGGAAATTAATAACATCTTATTCACACACCAGTATGGCTTTAGAAAAAAACACTCAACATATATGGCACTCTTGCAGCTCATCAACAAAATCACCGCAGCCCTTGGAAAGAATGAATACACCATTGGTATATTCCTTGACCTATCTAAGGCATTTGATACGGTAGATCATAACATACTTCATAAAAAAATCATAAATTATGGATTTGATGGGTCCGTCCTGTATTGGCTGAAAGATTATTTAAGTAACAGAAAACAATTCGTCTCTAATGGAAACATCAATTCTTCTCAGAAACCTTTAACTTGTGGAGTTCCGCAAGGCTCCATATTAGACCCCCTTTTATTCTTAATATATGTTAATGACTTAGCATTAGTATCAGATAATTTTTACCTCCATTTTTCCTCCATGGAAAATGGAGGTATTGTTTTTGGCGGCGTCTGTCTGTGTGTCTGTGTGTGTGTGTGTGTGTGTGTGTCTGTGTGTCTGTGTGTGTGTCTGTGTGTGTTTCCGCAACTTTGTAGTCAGCATAACTTCATAACGCCTTTATGGATTGTGATGATATTTGGTATGCTGATAAGTCTTAGGAAGACAAAGGTCAAGGTCAAATATGGGCCTCCTGGTGGATGACCTTGGTACTGCAGCAGAACTTCCGGTTTTTGTATCTTTGGTCCTGAACATGCTATGGTCTTAAATTGTTGGTGACAGATAGCTTTTCCTGTCAGGAATAAGTGGTGTGGGTTTGGTCCCCCTAGCAGCTTGTTCAGGAACTGCAGGGGACTTTCGGGCGAAATCTTTGAAAGCCAATAAGTCCAGATAGGAACAGCGTATTTTCATCATTTTTGGTGTGTAGGTATCTGACAGAGAGATGTACATAATTAACTGCAAATTATGCAAATTAGGACTTTATTTGCATAATTAATGAGGAAATTCTATAATTACAGTGTTTTACATTATAGAACTTTCATACATGTAATGTATGTAACCTATGGCAGATGGAACATCAACAGATACTAATTATGCAAATGATGACCTAATTTGCATAATTAATGCAAAAAATCTATGTTTTCTCAATGGTGAATGATGGGATTTTCATACTTGGGACATCTTTAAGTTAATCAAAAGTTAACATCATGATGCATATATTATGTTAATGCAGAGGTCATTTGTGTAATTAAAGAAGAAATTTACATTTACATATCAAGCCCATATTTCATGGAGGTATGAGATCTCGGAACTCTTGTTTTCTTTGTTGTTCGCAGATGATACAAACTTATTTATGTCACACAGTAATTTTGATACTCTATTGACAACGGTAAATGCAGAATTAGAAAAGGTCAGTCAATGGTTCAAGGCGAATAAGTTATCCCTTTATATAAAGAAGACAAGTTTTATTATTTTTTCTGGACCAAAAAAGAAGTATGATAAAGAAAAAGTCCACATATATATAAATAATAAACGTATCAATCAAGTAAACCACACTCGCTTTTTAGGAATAATAATAGATGAAAAACTTAATTGGAAGATACATATAGATTTGATTTGCAATAAGATTAGATAAGAACATAGGCATCATTAGAAAAATAAAGACCCTCCTCCCACGAAGAATATTCATAACATTATACTACAGTCTAATATATCCGTATCTATCATACTGCAATTTCATTTGGGCGAGCACCTACACAACTTCAATTAAACCACTCTATCAACTTCAAAAACACTTGCAGCTAACACACATTTCACAGCACACTCAGCACCTTTGTTTCGTGAACTACAAATCATAAATGTATATGACTTAAACAAATTACAAATAGCCATTTTTGTTCATAAAATCGTTCATAATACCAATAGTTTACCAGATCAATTCAACAGTTTTTTTTTTACATTCAGCTCAGACATTCACCAGCACAATACGAGACAACATAACCAATTAAGGCCGATCAAGACTAAATCCACACAAAAACAATTCTCAATAGCGTATAGAGGCCCCATCGTCTGGAACAAGTTAAGCCAACTGTTACAAAACTGCCAGTCAACTCCTGTGTTTAAAAAACTTCTTAAAAACTTTTTCTTACAAAACCCCAGTACAACTACAATCTGATTTGTTTGTTTTCCTTGTTATTGTTAATCTTTTGTTTTAATCGTTAATTCTTATGTTAATCATTTAATCAGTTTACTCTAACAGCTACCTGAATTACATCTATAAGACTTTTGTTTAATTTCTTTTAGTTAGTTTACACACTTCAGTTATTATTTCTGTGTCTTGATTTTGTTTAACTAATCATTGTTTAATTATTTCATTGTTAAATTTTGATGTTTAATTTAAATATGTTTTGTCATAACTTATCTTTGCTTGGGGTAGGCCTCTAGAAAAACCACCCAGGTTTCTGGCCTATATGATTATTATTATTTGATTGTGTAATGGTTTTTAATATACGTGCAAATGGTAAATAAATAAAAAAAGAAAGAAAGAAAAAGACATAAGTAAGCACAGTAAATAAACATAACAGATTTAATAGATTTAATAGATTTCAATGACTTCATAGCGACTCTTTATTCCAGAGTTTCCTTGAGTTAAAACGAGAGAACTGTTTACAATGCTATCCGTGTCATTAATGCAATCTAGCTAGCAAGCTGTACTACCACAAATTAACTTTGTATTCCTGTATAGTTTAGCAGCATTTTTTTTTTACTGACTGGAATCTTTTATTCGCCCGTTCACTAGTTTTGGGGCCTTCAAAGGATGTCATTCATAGAATTAGGACAGTGTGGCCTTATATTACAAGGTGAGTCGGCTGGAGTTCAGTTAACTCCCGCATGGTGGCATGTGAACCCATGAAGTGACCATCTGAGCCTGTACCTCAAATACTTTTGCGGTACTTTCATACACGTGGTTTTCGCCGTCACTGCCTTCTCTACCGCCAACCTATATAATTACCATGAACAAATAATTCGAATACTTTCTTCTTGCTACACCTGCCGCCACCGAGACCGGAAACTTTTGTTTGCTACCGGGAACATTAAGTGATTTACAGTACTGTGTTTTCTACCTAACACCACCTGAGGGCTCTAAGGTGACTAATGACACTGGTTCAACTACGTCTGTGTTTGGCATATAGAGCGCTCCCATGCTCAAGACAACAATCATGGCGGACCCCGACAAAGAGGTTAGTACAATTTTTCTCGGCTGTTATGTCTTTCATTTACTAGTAAGGCCGGTACATCTTAATGTAATTTAGTTCTCGTTATCGCAAAGACTTGGACTTTTCCTTAAAAGATTCTCTGAATAGGGCAGAGAACCCGGAAGATCAACAGGAAGGTAAAGTCTAGTGGAAAACCCGCAACTCGACATACTACTTATCATAAACATAGTCAGATTCAAGCTTTCCTTGCAACCCTCCTCCAATCATAATCTGAAATCTAGTATTTAACAAATGGCGTAGAACGAAGCAGATGCATTGGTGTGGCCTTAACATTAGGCTAAAGCGTAAGGCTAAAGCCAGGAGCAATGTGTTCTTATTGTAGAGGTACAAAATTGCCCATAACAATGCAGTAAATTAGTACTGCCTGTCCAGTTCAATTGTAAAGGCTAGAATGACATGTTAAAAGAATGAACTACTGGGTCTTTTTGTGCGGGCCGTCGTGATTGTTGTCTTATTAAAGAGGATAGTTCTCCTCGAACATGCCTTTTAGCAGTTCTATTCTGGTAATTTCTCGTCTTTCATCCATATTGGCAGAGCAGGTAGTCTTAATAATGATGATGATAATAATAGTAAAAATAATGAAAGTAATAATAACTGATCTTGGCTGTAAATTACCAGTAAATTAACTCTAAATTACAATTGACAAACGAAATCAGTGCATGTCTGTACAGTTCAATCTATCGTCGTTTGTCTTTTGCTAAGTCTCTACATAACCTCCTTGGTCCCTTAGATATTTTAGTACGTGAGACTCAAGTCTAATGTTGTGGCTTAGATAAAGTTTACAGTCGTCGACAAGGCTACTAAGTAGACCTTCATGTGGTCTTCCAAGATTTTCTGCTGAACGAGGCACTGAGGACCTTTTGTGGGGGTGAGTTCAGTAGTCTTAATAGTCTGTATTGTTTCTTCAGATGATCAGACTGCAATGGCTGATAAACTTTGCTCAGCTGAATCAACTCAACAATGAAGTGAAGCACATCAACAGTTACCTGGAGAGCAGCAGCGGACAGAAATGGTACGTCAGCAGAAAAGGGCAGGTGAGTTGTAGACTTCTAACTTTTGAGGCCACGACAATTTAATTTGATGGTTGTCGGACTTGAACATCGATCACGTTGAATTGATACATAGATCATCGGATCTGTGTTCAGGTATTAGCTCAAAATGTGACTTCTTCTGAAACAATTCAAGCCATGGCAAGTTAATTTGATGGTTGTTGGACATAAACATCATGTTGAACTGATACATAGGTCATCGGATTTAATCAGGTTCTGAGACCAAAATCTGCGTTCAGGTATTCGTTCAAAATGCGACGAGTCCAGATTCTTGTGCTGCAGTAAAGCTTGACATTTAGGTTCCTTCTAATGTCAATGTAACAACACAGGTAGACTTCCGTGGTAGGTGAATTGGCAAACTGGAATACATGTAATTAGTAATATCTATTATGACAAGACGTTAGAGTCCCAATTTTGCGTTGGGGGACAGTTATGAGGTAAGAGCTAGGGAGATGAAATAGCCTCCTGTTCTGTTCTTGTGATGTTCTATAGCCTGGTATCCAGTCTATCGTGGTAGGGGCAGGTGGTCTTCGGGGCTCTAATAGTTTTCCCCCGCCCAGCTCAACAGACCGCCCGGTAGGTGAGGAGTTACGCCTGTGATAGAGTTTTGCATGTCGGGAGTTGGCTAGATCGTGATGGGGCTAATCATCTCGCATCGTGCAAAACCTACCGGGGAACCTAGCTGAGGCGGGCGGGGAAGAGCTTCAGCAGCCCCAAAGAAAATCTGCCCCAATCGCGATAGCCTTGATGCCAGGTCAGATGCTCTGTACCACGACAGCTAAAGTTTCTTGCTAATGATTGTTTCCCCCTCCCCACAGATCCGAGTGCTGATCACCCCCACCCTGTTCTCACTGAGGGATGTGGACACCGTCAAACAGGAATTCTCGGCAGAACTCTGGTTTGAAATATTCTACAAGGACCAGAAGCTGAAGGGGGTTACAGACCGAGAGGTAAAGCGATTAGGCGGGTGGCAACACAGATTCAATTCTCATAAAAAAGGAGAATGAAGCTGAATGTAAAATTGAAATTGATTATGAGGTAAAATTTGATGCGGTCAGCTTTACTTAATGAATATACTTAGTGTAGTTAGTAGATATTTCGTACGATACGAACATATTATACATACAAACGTTATGCAGGCGGTCCCTATGTAGAGATGCAAGCCACTTGTACAGGTTTGACTGTATTATATATCAATGGCCAGGTGGACCTTATGACTATGTAGAGGTTTGGCTGTATGTCAATGGCCATGGAGGTGGACCTTATGTAGAGGTGATCACTAGTACAGGTTTGACTGTATACCAATGGCCAGGTGGACCTTATGTAGAGGTGGGCACTACTACAGGTTTGACTGTATATCAATGGCCAGGTGGTCCTTATGTAGAGGTGGTCACTAGTACATGTTTGACTGTATATCAATGGCCAGGTGGTCCTTATGTAAAAGTAGCCACTTGTACATGTTTGACTGTCATGTTTCAGGATGTAGACTGGGATAACCAGTGGGATCCGCGGATCGTTCTGAGGAACACGACGAGCATTGAGACACAGAGCTCAGCACAAAACCTGATCCTGGTAGTCGGGGAGGACGTGCCCATCGTGCACGAGTTCAGGAAGTTTCGGGCTACCTTCAAGGTTGACATGGATCTCGCCGACTTTCCTGTTGATCACCAGGTATGTTCTTATTTATAATCCCTTTAACAGTTCCGAGTGCACAGATGCAGTTTCGGATGCACTGCAGATGCACTTTGGTCTTAGACCTTAAACAGAAATCATTACGACTTACCTTTGCAGAACTGCGCCATATCTTAGTTCTTTATAAGACAACACAAATTTGATTTGTCGGTTCTCATGCTCTCCTCTTTTCTATTTGAGTTATTGAAGGAAGAAAAGAGGGAGTCAATGTCGCACTTTTCAGTAGCGTGCATATACCGGGTGAGCTACAAAAGCAAGGATTAAAACTCGCGTCCTATTGGTCTATATATTAGAGGGGATTCATTCCTCTAGCTACCAACATCTCGCACACGCAGTCGTCCCTCAGTAAAACATCTGGAGCCGCATAGTTTCTGTTTAGAACTTTTATTCAGCCTGTCATAAGACCGGTTTCGCCTGTGTGGCTTCTTCAAGTGTACAGAAGCTAAATGACACAAGTACATGAAGTTCTCACTTATATATCGCGTCCTATTGGTCCCAATGCAGGGTAAGAAATCATTAGATTATGCACCTGATGTTTTTTTCAGGAACTGACTGTCCAACTGATGTCAGGGTGGCCAATCAAGAAAGCGGACCTGAGAAAGAACTATGGGTCCAACGACACTATTACTGATGAGGACTTTGCAGGTACGCCGTGGTAACATTTTCCATAGACTAGTAGTAGTAGTAGTAGTAACGTTAACCTGGTTACCAAACCTACTATACGTGTAGCTCCCGAGTCCTACATCCTCTCCAAACGTTTGCGGAGTGGATGTTGGACACGGGAGCTATAATAGGTTTCGTAACCAGGCTATTCTCGTAGACCGTCATATAATTTATCATTCGTAAAATCCATGCAGTCTTATATTATGAGAATAGAAAATGTCACCATAATGACTAATATTATGGGGTCGTGTGACGTAGTGGCAGAGTGCTCGAGTCGGAACCAAGAGGTCCCGGGTTCGAGTCCTGACATGCCACCGATCTTGTGCCCTTGGGAAAGACACTTTACACAACTTTCCTCACTTAACCTGGGTGAAAATGAGTATTGTGTTGTTAAGTTAAAAAAAAAAAACTTCCGCCACCACGTCTTGTGATTACATGTTGGAATATATATATATATATATATATATATATATATATAATAANAATATATTATNTCTCTCTCTCTCTCTCTGAACTTGACCAGTGGACAGTGAGCAAGTTTCTAGACTGCAAACATGACACCAAAACTAACAGGCAGTCCGAAACCTTCGGCGAGTACCCCGTGTACAACATCACTGCGCATGTGCAGAGGAAGTCGTCTTTCTACTTATGGAACACCGTACTCATCTTGGTAAGTGCAGTACCTTTTTGTTTCAATTCAAAAATCGGATTTGACTGCGAGAGACTACTAATTGAGCGTTGGTTGTGCCATACATATTCTATGCAAAAGTAGAAAAATCATTGTGATATCAATCATGTACATTGTATACTGTATATCACTTTTCGATGCCTTTTCGAAGATTCTGATGATCTTCTTTTCCTAATCGGACAGCTAGCACTGGAGGTAATTGCTTTTAAATGTTGATCTACTAAAAAAACACCACAGTCGGCGTCAAATAACGCAAAAAGTTTGTCAAAGTTTGCTCAGTCTCATTCTCATCGTTAAGGGTCAAAGACCAATAAGTAGGCCCTACACCCATCCATAGGCTTGTTTCAGTCAGATGAAGCAGATTCTGATACCAGGTCTGGTCTGTTGGACTTAAAATGTTGCAAATCACCATTAAATCTAATGTTGTTTTTGTCCACAGTTCATCATCATTGCCCTCTCGTTCACGGTGTTCTCCATCCCACTAGAAGACCACAAAGACCGTCTCGGCATCACTTTCACCCTGCTGCTCACCACAGTGGCCTTCAAACTGGTGGTGTCCCAGTATCTTCCCACTGTTTCCTACCTGACTCTCTTGGTGAGTAGGACCTTTGCTTAGCCTAGTAGAATGATGTGGTAAACAGACTTAGCTTCATGTAATGTTGTTATCTGTTAGCTAGCGAAGCCAAGCCGAGAGATAGATATCATGATGAGCTGTAACAGACTTCACCTTCGGCCGTCGGGCGTACCTCGGGCGATACGGAATACCCCGTGTTGTATTCTATTCTATGTATATCACTACTTTCTGTACTTATTGTTCTTGTCAATGTTTGTTTGCAATTAGCCTTCGGGCGTGAACTTGCAATAAAGAAATCATTATATTGGCCATATGTACCCACTTCGGAGAATTGTTTGCAGTTAAACACCATGCAGACCGCCTTTCCCTAATACTGTGAAACCGCCACAAGTACACATTGGGATATTCATCTTCTATATCATTGTTAATTGTTATTAGGACAAGTACGTGCTGGGGTGCATCATCTTCCAGTGCGTGGTGGCTGTGCAGAACACCGTAGCCTCGGTGATAAGGGACAAGGAACGCGCCAGGCTGTTTGACGGAGTGTGTGTGGGCCTCTTTGGGGCTGCAGTCCTCTTGGCACATCTGGTCATTGGCATCGTCGTTTGGACAAAAGTACGCTAACAGTTACTGTTAATATATCATTAGAGTAAAAAGTATTCTTGAAAAGGCCATACCCAAAGAGATACATGTACCATTATAGCCCAAAATATCGAGCTACTTGGCACATCTGGTCATTGGGATCGTCTTTTGGATGAAGGTACGCAAACAGTTACTGTTGATGTGTATAAAGAGTAAAAAGTATTCTTGAAAAAGCTATACAAAAAAGTTACCAATTTGTAAATATAGCACAAAATATCGAGATACACTAAAGACGCGACGCCTGAAAAGCTAGAGACTTCTTCTAAGCATTTTAGTGGAAGGTCATTCAGCACCATGGAAAATTTGTTAACATTCACCACAAAAACGGTTTGTGAGGTAAGTTTCCTAGAGATTGATTTTATTAAGATAAAGTCTGGTTTTTGTCCTGAAGAGACGTTCCAAGGTCCCATCCTTCCCAAGGAGACTGTAGCCTCTGCCAGGCTTCTTGGGGCTGTCAAATGCTCGAAAGAAACATATGAATAGTACTACGTTTACTATACAGCCGATACTGTATATGACAATGGAAAAAAGGCGTAACAATGAATGAGTCAAGCTTAGATGAAGGTATGCAAACAGAATAGTAAATGAGGCCGAGTTTGATTCATATTTTGAAGTATCATATTATATTTCCTGGGTATAGAAATGTTACACATTTGTTTTAGGCCAAATCTAAAGCATAGAAGTCTTGCCAACACGATTCGTTTCTTAACAAATACCAACAAGTAAAATTTTATACCTCCGGGCTTTTTATTGTATATTTTTATATGTTGTTTGTTATGTATAGTTGATGGTGTTGAAGTTTATGTGTTTTAGCGTTCCTGGTTGTATTAACACAGGTCAACATTTTCATCTGCAGCCCATAACATGTACCCACGAACTTATGAAATTCTATTTAATCTGCCACAAGGAACTCGTAATGAAACTCAGAATGACAACGGGAACCGTTAAATCAGACGATAAAAATAACGGCTGAAGTAGCTTCCCGCATGTGGAAGCCATCGTCATAACTTCCTCCATTTTCCGCCGATTCTTCGCATAAATCGGGGAGGTTAAGGTCTTAATCATCGGTAAAAATGCATGTCGAGAACGTCTGAGACAGTATACCGCGGTATTTGTAAGTTAGAAATCGTACGTAACATCCAAAACAAAGATTGCGTTGTAGAGTACGTTGACCCCTGACCCATTGGCCCACCCGGAAGTGCCGATCATCATACGTCCTGTGAACGCGTACTAAAAATCCTCTCCAAACAACAATTGTTGCGCCTCGCATACAGAAGATGCATGTGGAAGGATGTGTCCTCCCCGTAGGTAATTATAATTTGGGGTGCATGGATGAGGATGTATGCCTAATGAAATGTGACATGACTACATGACTGTCTACACGTCTTCTACTCTACTAGTGGAAGAAGAACAGTGGCAAGCTGCAAGAGATAGACCAGAAGTTCGAGGTAAGACTCACTCCTGAACAGTTTGACACAGGAAAGGGCAGCTTGGAAAGCTTAACTTAGAGATAGTGCTTATAGACCAGAATAAGTAAAGTGAAATAAGAAAAAGAGATTTGATTTTGTACCTCAATACATTTGTACATGTATTAGGAATAATGTTGTTACACTGTTAAACAATACAGATTTATAAAAAAATTCAGGGACAACACTGTTATGATACGTTTGTGAAGATTAGTCATCCAAGGTAGAAAACTTGAATTAGTAAGATTGTATACTAGACTTTTCAACCGGATAAAAATTTAATAGCCAAACGTTTCAAGTGGTATTCCAACACCCTTCATCCGTGAAATGTTGAATTGGTATGATATTTCATTGTCAACACTCCTGAGATGATATGAGTACTCTAAACTAGACCGATGTTATATCTTGTTTCTTACGTACCGCCAGCATCTCAAAGAACGAGTTGACGAAGCCTACAAGGAGCGTGAACGCGCCAAGAGGTATGGCATAAAAGTACCTGGGAGCACCGGGAGCAACCTGATCATCAAGGGCTTTACTGAAGAAGAGGTTCGAGAGGTAATGGTTGTTCTCGTGTGTTTGTAAAACATTCTTTTTCCCTGATGTTTCTTCCTCTCCCTGTATTCAGTCATCTCATGTCTACCATTAATGACCACACTATAGAAAAACTATGATGTGAATTCATCTCCAGTTGCAGAGGGAAGAAATCTAGATCAGATTAGATCATGTAGAATGTATTCTCTAATAGTACCTAAGGCTTCTGCGTTCTTTTACCCTCCTATTCTATTATTATGTTACATGTACTATGTATTATATACAAGTAACATCATAGTCTGATGTATGCATTTAGTGCTATGGGCATGAGCATGCAAATAAAAATTCTATCATTTAAAGGGCAATTTTATATTTCACCCAAAGAGTTACCATGCATATGGGAGCCAGACCAGGTATCGGGCCGTTAGCCCGTTCCCGTCGGTGGCCCAAAGCAGTACGCCCGCCTGTCTACCGCTCCGGGATCCGCTACGGAGGAGTTTAGCCCGAGGGAGTTTGGAGTGGTAAAGGGCTGGCCCAATGCCAGTCTGGCTCCCTGGGTTGTTTATGCCCAGATTTTTCACTTACACACCTTGTGAGATAAAATGTTTCCTGTACATTTCTAGTCTTAAATGGACCTTTTCTCATCATCAGTGTTCCTGCATGTAATTGCTGTGTACTTCCCTCTATCTTTCCATCAAAAAAGTGAACCAAACTGCGAATCGGATCTGATATCTTTGTGAGGCCGAAAACTATTTGCTGTACACTTCTGGCCTGAAAAGGGGGACTCTGTTTATCTGCAGTTCCCTTTACTTATTTACTTATAATCTGCAGTGCCCTTACAACTAATTGTAACTATTCTCCTTTATCTTCCCACAAAAAGTTTGATCCAGGCTACGAATCAGATCGTGAAGATAAACCACTCATGAGTTGCTGTTGAAAGACCACTCGTGTAAGACCTTCCACACAACCGATGGAGGTCTGGGAGACCCGTGTGTGCCCTGACGACTAAACTGTACTCGGACAACCATTTTTGCTCAACTTACTCTTTCTTTATTGCTGGCAAAAGTCTAAACTTTTGTTATTATCAACTGGTGGTAATTGGCATGATAATTGGCTTAATGTCACCTTGTATAAAGAACTTGTGACATAGCTTTATAGATTCTTTGAGCTTGCATGGCATTCTAATTTTGTTGGACGTACTTCTGATTTGTGGAGTAGTGTCAGTCTTTTATCATTACTACGTTATATATCAGCAACAACTATATTGCTCCCGTTGTGTGTGTAACCAAAATATAGGCCTGATCTTATATACATTAGAGCAGAAAACGTTAGCTTGAGAAGCAACTACAATAAGCAAAGTAAAAAACGCAACTACAGTTGTAAGATAAAATTGAAATATTTGATATACACTGATGGTTGTTTTATGCAAATAGCTATGTTCATTGAATTATGCTAACTATCATTATTATTTATCTGAGGAAATGTTGGTGCCATTGGAAAAATAATCAAATCAAATTGTTATAGTCCTTTTCTTTAGAAATAAGACATAAGTAGTTTTTGATGATATTTTACTTATTTTATCTAATACATATATACGTAGCGCTGTTGGATTCACTGCTGGATGCCGTGATGCCCTACGTCCTCGAGTCTGAGGTCACAGGACGAGAGTGAGTAAGTGAGAGTAGCGTTGTTTCCTTCGTTTAGATGGGACGCTAAGAGCCAGGAGTATTAAACAGGAGTTGAACTGGGCTTGCCTTCTGTTTTCTCTTTACTATTGATAAATGTAGATCTACATGCACCTAAATGCACAAGTAAGCGCAGTACTAAATACAGTATAAAATGCCTAAGTATATATGGAAATCTAAAAGTTTCCGTACTTGGGCATTTTCACCCAAAATCCTAAAGTTATTTGTAAACAGTGATTCATTGGTTTCTAACATCCCCAGAGCAAAGGTCAGTTCTAAACCGTGACGCTTTTGCCGCCAGGCATCTGCTTGGAGAATATTCCCAGTCACAAGGTCACCAATCGGTGCCTGATAAAAAAAGCTTTTACAAAAAAAAAATTACAACAAACAGATGAATTTACATTCACTCGTAATACTGAAAGGCTCTAAATATCCACTAAAACAACACAGTTCTCGAATCATACAAATAATTCTGAATATGTGGATTTTTAATGTAACGTCACATGTATTTGTAAATTTGATCAGGCAGTACAATCATTTGTACAATCACGTTTGGTTTCCCGTGCGAAGTCGTTCGAATTTCGGCTCAACACCTTGATCTTCATCTTTAAGGAGTTGTCTCGTCTTATCTGATCCGAAGTAAGGCGTTTGGCTCGACGTGAAAGTTGAAATATCTCCTTCTTCACCCTTCCCAAACTTCGAACTCCCGCTTGTAACCTGTGGAATTATTCTACTGCCTGTTCAAACTTACAACTGATACATGTGACGTTACTATAAAAATTCGCATATTCAGAATTAGTTGTAGGATTCGAGAAATGTTGATCTTTTAGTGAATATTTAGAGCATTCAACGCTACGAATGTAAATTCATAACTTTTTTTGTTTAAAAGTTTAACTTTCTCAGGCACCGATTGGTGATCTTGTAACTGGGAATATTCTAAAAGTAGATGTCTGGCGGCAAAAGCGTCACGGTTTAGAACTGGCATTTGTTTGCTCTGGGACTGTAGAAACCAATGGATAAATAATCTCTTACAAATAGGATTTTAGGTAGAAAGGCCCCAGAACTGATTTTTTTTTAAATTTCCATTTATACTTTGGCATTTTATATTGTACAAGTACTGCACTTACTTGTGAATTTAGGTGCATGTATCAATATGAGTAGTGAGAGAGTATCTTTAAATAAACACAATTAATTATACCTGGTACATCTTACAATTTTCCTATTGAAGATGCAATCTTAAGTATCACAGTCATTTCTACATAAAGATAGCATTTGGACATCCCCAAATTTGGACATTATTTTTTTTCATAATTTGGACATTTGATCACATTTCTACTCTTAAATAAAGAATGTTAAAAAAAACTTATTTTGCGTGTTTTTTTTGGGGGGGGGGCGTTTTTATCATTTTTGTACTGGCATATTTCATTACACCAGCCCAGGGTTGCATTTTTATGGTAACCGTTTGCCAATGGGATACTTCCTGGCTAATTATGGGTTCACCACACCACGAAGTGGTGGTGAACCCATATTGCTTTTTCGGATGTTTCTTCTTCTCCTCCTGCCATTTTTTAAATGGATTCAGCTTCTTCATTTTAGGGCCTAAGGTCCTGAAATTTGGTATGGAGGTACAGTGGGCAAATACCACTAGGCGTTTTTTAAATTTTGTGATACAGGCTTTTAGAATGGTTTTATTTGAGTTTTTTGGCTGTGTTATAGCAAATGTATTACTGTGTTAGTGTGCCGTGTTTACCACGTCTGGGCATGAGTCATCACAATGGAATGCAGGGCATCAACCAATAGGCATGCAGCTTTCCTCTATACTTCTTGCTGATTGGCTGTTGGGATTTAACTTGATTAACACCTGCACAGAGCATTTCCACCTGCACAGAGCATTTCTTGCTGATTGGCTGTTGGGATTTAACTTGATTAACACCTGCACAGAGCATTTCCATACTGACAGTATGTCTTTATTCAAGTGTTTTGGTAGGTATTTCAAGCTTTTCTGCTCCAGCATTGGAATGCGGGGCATGAACGTTTTTTTATTTATTTTGAAAATCAACAGTTTGCATTATGCAATTAAAAATCCTAACCAATAAAGTAGGGAATAGCTATCCAACTGTTTTTTTCGTTGTATGTTACTTCATATTATAGTTATATCAATGTAAATCATTGTTTTCCCTTGTGTTTCTCATTCTTTCCCTGCCATGTCGTAAAATGTGGTGAACCCATCGCTGTATTTGCTCCAAAGCAAATATTGGCCTTTCTAGTTCCATACTGTCTTTGCCAGACTGGTCTTTGCAGACACCGAAAGATATGCTTGGAGATTACAACACTTTTACTATATCCTGTTTCCCATTTCCGTGATGCATTGCGGTTAAGGGGGGTAAAATTGTGGAACTTGCGGCATTGTGATTTTTCGACAGTTGCCAAAACCTTGAAAACGTATGAAGAAACCAACACTATCATCGTAGTGACATTACAGTGCTGTTGAAAAGTTAAGTTGATGATTCAAATAAGGTCCAAAAATCCGGATAATCTATAAACCATGCATTCACTTCTGGAGGTGATAATCTGTCAAAGTCTGAAACCCAAAATGTGCACCCAAAATTAGAGCTGTGCACCCAGATATTTGTGTCAGCTGATGCACATTTTTAAGATACAGTACTATACTAGTATACAACATATATATAGCAGTCTTTAACTGTCAAAAGTTGTTTGAAATTTTGAAGTCAGTTTATCTATAAATATATAAAATTTAGGCTTTTCTGACACTCAACCTTATGTTGACATTTTTTTCTGTGCACCTGAATTTACATATTTGGTGCATCAATGCACTATTCTTTAAAAATAATAAGGACCATTTGTAGTTCCAACTAAAGGTGGTTTACTAGTGTACCACACAAACAAGGTTTACCTTTTTGTAGATAGTTGTATTTTGATTTGCTATATATTTGTACTGTATGTTTCTATTAGAAACATCAGAAATTATATTGTTTTCTATATGAATTGTATGAAAGCTAATGGAGCAATAATGTATCCAAGTTTACGTCGTTCAAATTGTCACCTCAGACGTTACAGGAGAGTACATACGTGTAGACTCGACCATAAACCACAGTCACCAGATGCCGTTTTTACCCAGTTTTATTTCACCATGTCAAAAGACTAACAAGAAAAATTTCTAAGGCCACAGCAGGTAGTTTTCATGGATGGCATAATTGATTTTGCATTTGGGCATAAAAAGAAGAAATTTTGTTGCCATCCAACCATAAAATGTCAAACCTCTATTCGTCCTGTCGCAAAAACGACAAACTTTAGGGTACAAGAATGAACTTCAGCTACCTATGAGTATGGAAATCTACTGCTGCCACATGTATAAGAGCGGGAACAGTTTGGGAGCCCTTCATTTTGTGTGGAAGATACCAGCAACGAAAGAGGAAATGCAAGGAACCTGAACCAGACAAGCTAACAGATGCACCTAGCAGAGAAGGGGTTCAGTACTAGTGTTATTGTATCACACATGGGAAATGAGGAGAAGACTTAAGGACAAATTCTTTCTGATTACGTAATATGCAAAACCAGTGATCATGAAGATGGGCAGATTTCTGACAGATGATGCAGCAACAGAAGAGCGTGTTGAAAGTACATTTTAGATCATAGATTAGGCCTCGATTGAAGATGGGATATCTACAACCTTGAGAATGTAGGAATCTTGTTTATTGCTCGCCTTTTTTGCATTTTTATCGCATTAAATTTGGAGTCGGTGGAGGATCTCATCCATAAAATTTACTTGCTGTGGCCTGATAATGCATAAACAAAAGGAATAAATGTCATTACCCCACCAATAGTACATCTGAATAGTTTGAAATTTATACATTTCCATACATGAAATATTTTTTCTTTAAAAACCTTGATAACTAACAAATTACATTAGAGTGGCCTTACTTACACTCTGCAACGTTTGTATACTTACTAAAAGGAACCCTAATTCAACACCACTTACAAATCTCTTGAATAAAATGTATACAATGTATAACTTATAAGAATACTTGCTTCACGGAACACAAATTTAATCCACCCTCAAAAGAAAAACAATATTAGGTAACACCAACTTAATCAATTGGTCCTTGGGTTCACCCGCTTTGTTTTTTTTCTGTTTTGTATCAATACTAACTACAAGGAACCCTAATTCAACACCCTTACAAATCTCTTGAATAGTTGAAATGTCTAGTAGAAAACTTACCACAAGGAACCCCAATTCAACACAATCTTTTGAATAATTGAAATGTCTCTATTGTAACTGTACAAGGAACCCTACTTCAGACCCCCCTTACAAACTAAATCTGTTCATTTTTCATGCTAGTAAATCTCTTGACTGTTTGACATATAATGTCTAGTTGAGAACTTACCACAAGGAACCCTAAGTCGAATCTTCCCCTCATTTTACAAATCTCTTGAATGTTTGAAAAGACTTGATCATCGATAATTTTTATCTATACTGAGATGTTTTAGTATCAATAGCCTTAAAATCTCAAATTGTGGTTCATTTTCAGCATTTTGCATTACAAATGTGTTACTATATATATGTATACAAGTCTGAAAAAGAGTGTACACATAGGCAGATTAGCCTTGACCTGCCATACCAAGCTGCCAGTTTTTTAAAATCTATTTCACTAGGACACTATATATATGGAAAACTACCAGTTCCACCACCTTATACCATTGCCAATTATATGTATATACGAACTATGTAAAGTGTGCCTTATTTATATGTATGATGATGTTGACCTCAACCAATATCAAAGTCATATGCCTATGTTTGGACAATGTCTGTTTAAATACATAAGTTCCCTAGCTCCGTAACCTATATTCATTGATGATTCTTTCCAATCCAATTACATAAAATATTAATATATTACCTGTATGGCCCAAGTACATGAAAGTCCTACCCTAGCACTGATATGCTGATACGTAATTTCCTATGATATTAGTTACAAGTAAAATCACTTTGCATAATCTATGTGTAATCATAACACCCTTACTCCAATCCCTACACGTAAGTATTGAATTCCCATCATTTCATAACAATCAGAAAAGTTCATGACTGCATATAGTCTGTCTTAATGTTCTCTATATGTAATATGATGGAACCCAGTATAATTATAGTTTCCTCATCAATTATATAAATCAGGTTGTGATTTGCATGGTTATCTATGTCCATTATAAGTTACAGTTTACAACTTGCTTCAGTTTGCTTCAGTTTGACTCTGTTAGAGACCTTAAAATACAATCTACGCCTGCTCTTTATACAGTACAGGCCTTAAAATACGCATCAAGTTCTGTAGGACGTACCGCGATATTCCGCGAGACGTCCAGCAATATTCCACAGGACGCACCGTGAAAATTTTTGCGTATTTCGTGGCCTGTGCTGTAAGTGTCATAGGGAAAACAATGTTGTGTTTCCTGTTTCAGTCCTGAAAAAATTAAGGGTTGGTAGGTAGGGATTATCTTTTTTCTTTCTTTCTTCTTTTAGATCTATATACATGGGTCCAACTTATACAATATAGTTTAAGTAAAACTTGGATCATTTCACGTTAGAAAATTTATTGTACAGCTTGTAAGAAAGAGGACAGACGGTTGACTGTTGTGGCAGGGGTGCTGTTGGATCCAACAGGTCACATGTGCTGTGTAGTCGATTTCATTCTTCCAACATCAGCAGCATCTGAGTGTGTAAAGGGGGGGGGGGGTTACAAGTCCGAAATATCTGTATTTGCCAGGGTAGCCGATGCACATAATAAATTACTGATCAAATTGCAAGGAATTGAGGATTAAAGACAGCTTTCATATATAACAGGTTTCCTCTGATCAAATTCCATTTACTGCTTAGGCTGAAATTAAATCAATTATTCTAAATTACAATTTATCATAAGGGGTTAGGGCAAACCCTTCACAAGTCCTTTCCACCCAAATCAACACCACTTAAAATGTGGCCTATACCTTACCAATGGGGGGATAAATCATAATGATTTTGAACTGATTCAAAGAAAATTTTAAGTGTCTTATAATTCCAAATTCTGTTTGGAATTTGAATTTCTCTGAGAGAACCAAGAACTGGATTTTGTACTTGCCTCTCCTGGCTGAGTTCACTCACTGCTCTGTTGCTGTGCAGCACAATCTAAGGAATATATAAGGAAAAATGTACGAACTGTTGCTTACTTATCAGTCTGGCTACATTGTACTTCATAAAATAGTTCACCTGGAACTGAGGGCAGTTTCACACATCATCCGATCTGAGATGACTGAGAATTAATGATTAACAATAACAGCACAATGGTAACAAGACTGGCAATGAAAACATACATTGCCATGGCGACGGTGGTTCATGTTCGGGTTATTGTTTGCATGGCACTGCCATCGTTTCATGATTTTGAGGAAGACAGATACAGTGCACTCCTCCCCCGAGTGTATAGTGAACGAGCCCCGGGGTCACAGAAAGTAGGGCCATCCGGGGCAGACAGGTCATCTGGGTCTTCCCAAGGGTTTCCAGGAATGTGGGCATAGATGTGGGTCAGAGAAATGCCTGTGGACATTCCATTCCTGTGGACAAAATGCCTGTACAATTTCCTAGAATTCTTGCGAATTGCACACAATACTGTACCATTAGGCTCCTCCCTGAGACGTCGCCAAAAACTCTACTGAAATCGAAACACCCAATTTGCAGCCATATTGTGCAGTCTGCATATCATCAAGCTGATCACTGATATGTTTAAGTTTAAACTGTAATTTCCAACACAAGAAATTGGACTCACCCAAATTTTCGACTGTACAACTCCAGTCTTTGTCAAGGAATGAGCAATCCACCGCTTCCGTGACGTCACGCAGATAACACACGTGACTCCGTGAGCAGTGGATCATAGGTTGCAGAAAGTCTGTGGCGCCCCCCGTCTCTGTTGAGGGATGGTTGTAATGCCCCGATGCAGATGGCCTCTTTAATCCCTCGTGCAAAGAAGGTGTGTCTAAACTGTACTTACTTTGTGTATGGTGGCATTTTTACAAACAACTCCATGGAGCTGCCATGGGGTCACCTGTTTCCCCATTGTATGCAATCTATACTTAGAGCATTTAGAACAACGTGCCATTAAATCTGCCTCACACACCCCTGTGTGGTGGTGCGATACGTTGATGACACTTTTACCAAGCTTAAGAAGGCGTACGAACAAGAGTTCACAGAACATCTAAATGACCTTGACCTAAAATTCACATTTGAAGAGGACGGGTCCCTGCAGGTTAAGATATACCGCAAACCCACACATACTGACCAATATTTGAACTTCCATTCTAATCACCCCCTGGATCATTAACTCGGGGTTATCCGCACCCTGTTTCACAGAGCGGAAACAATTATTACTGACCCTCAAGATTTAGAAGAGGAGAAAGTTCACATTTCAAAGGCACTAACAAAGTCTGCCTACCCCACTTGGGCTTTAGACAAGGCTAATAAACAGACGCCCAAAGACGGTAACCAATATCAGAGCAAGAACAAAAGCCCAAATAGAGGGCACATGGGATTAAGACCTGTTTTAGACCAACTAGAACCCTCCGGAATATACTGGTTTCCGACAAAACACCAAAAGGAAACCAACTGTGGGGTAGTTTACCATAAACAGTGTCAAGGACAGAACTCCAAGGGTCCATGTAAGGAAACCTATATTGGAGAGACTGAATGATCTCTCAAGGCTAGGTTCTTAGAACACAAACGACCTAGCCCGACTACTTCGGAGGTCTCACAACATATACACATAGAATCGCCTGGACATTCAGTTTTACTGGACAAAGTAAGAATCTTGGACTCAAAATCGGACTTCTTTGCACGAGGGATTAAAGAGGCCATCTACATCACGGCATAACAACCATCCCTCAACAGAGACGGGGGGGGGGGGGGGCGCCACAGACTTTGTGGCAACCTATGATCCACTGCTCACGGAGTCACGTGTGTTATCTGCGTGACGCCACGGAAGCGGTGGATTGTTCATTCTTTGACAAAGACTGGAGTTGTACAGTCGAAAATTTGGGTGAGTCCAATCTCGTGTTGGAAATTACAGCTTAAAGTTGCTTCATAATGAATGGAAAGTGTTTAAACTAGAAGTGCAGATTATGTTGAAGCGTGCGGTTAACTATACTCACTGCTGACTGAGGTTGGTTTATCATAGCCCTTTTAAGTCTATTCGTTTGCCGCGAAAACCGTCTGGGAATGCATTCTATAGCAGTCACACCTGTGCTGCAGCGCAATGTGAACCAGTCATAATTGCCCTGAGGAAGGTGACAGACAGACGGTCACCGAAACGTCGGCTGAATAAAAAAATTGCTTGTGTAAAAAGAGTCTCTTTACTCCTTTGAAGTCTAATGACATCAATGTGCAATCATATGTTTTTTTCTTTGTATGAAATAGATAACTTAAGACCTAATCCAAAGGGCCAGTGCCAACCGGAAAGAGGCAAAAAAACCTTTTTTTTAGAAAGTATGACAGAAAGTGATATTTTCTTGAAAATATTGGACTACAGAGAGAGATATATTTTGTTCTTTAAGCAATTAGAAAGCAATTCAGAGTGTAAACAAATAACAGTCTATACTATAAACGTGCATGAAATCAAATTCAAAATAGCTCAAAAATTTAATGTACCTGTCACGGTAATACCGCAGGCTTGCAGGAACCTTCTCTCTGAGTCCTCCCAGTACTTGGACTTCCGAAGCTCATCTTTGAACTTCTTTGCCTGGCTGAATGCCGTCTCGGGATCATTCAGAGTTTCGCGGATTTTGAGCGCCCACCTACTGGCATTTTTCGTCATGTCGCTGTCTTGCACGCTGGTCTCCACGATTCTGTTCCGGAGGCCCTGTGGCAACTTCTTCCCGTCAACAAGTTTGTTGATCATGTCTGCCAGACCGGTCTTGTCGGAAATGAGGACGGGGATGCCAGCTGCGATGGCCTCCAGGCCGACCAGCCCAAACGGCTCGGAGCGGGACGGCATCAGGACCAGGTGGGCCCTCATCATGTCACTCCTGATCTCCTCCTGGGTCCCGTACGGCAGCAGGGTGGGTACCAGGTCGGGACTGTTCAGGGCATGTTTCAGGATCCTCTCGCTTGTTTCCCAATCATCCTCGCTGATGCCGCGGACACACAACCGGACATTCTTGATTTTCTTCACCACATCCCTCATGGACTGTCCAACAAGGTCATGGCCTTTCAACTTCTCCACCTTCCTCACTCTGCCAATGGACAGGACGACCATCTCCTCTCCCCCAGGACTCACATGGGCGTCCAGGAATATCTTGGATGGCTTCGGGAGGAAGATGTGGTGATTCTGTTTGAATTTCCTATCTCCTTTGTACTTGGTGCTGAAGTGGTTGTAAATCCGCTCACCCACAGAGAAAGTTGCCTTTGCGTTGTCCACTTTCATAAGCATATCATTCTCTTTCTTCCCAGCATTCATGGCCTTCCGGCCTCCCTTGTAGTACTCTGTATCCTCAGGTATGACATGGGTGAACATGATGAGGTCTGCCTCGTCCTTGTAGTAGTCATTATGGATGTTTCGGGCTGCCGTATCTGTGATGTCAGCATGGCCAATGATGACATCAATGTGTGGTGGTAGCTCTGATTCTGGGTTGAGGCTATTCAGGTATTCATGTTGTGGTTTCTTTGATTTCGGGTAGCGGCTGTTGTAGTCGAAGGTCAGCCAGTCTAAGGATGGCTCTCTCAGGTCCCCTTTTTTTCGATAGGGTTTGATCAGCTTGACATTATCTCTGTCTGCCGCCTTCTGGTCTTCTTCAGGCACATCCAGCTGTAGGACTGTGGCGTACACAACTGCCTTGCCTGTCAGGCCTAGGGTTTGGCCTGCATAGCAGTTGATGGTGGAAATTCCCCCCTTGGAAGTCCCATACTCATCGTTAATTAACACGATTACCCGCTCTTCAGCATCTTTAGGAAAACAAAAGCAAAGATATTTAAAAAAACTCATGAACATGTAACTTGGAAACATTATTTGAATAGCGGCAGACTATAAAATTGGCTATCCACTCTACTCTCCAAGCAGAGGTTTGGGTTTGGGGTTATTTTTGGTGTGTTTTTAGGCTTTTTTTATCGGGGTTTCTCTTTTGCACTGAATTTTATTTGGGTTTGGTGGGAAAAAATTCAGTGCAAAAGAGAACCCCCCCCCCAAAAAAAGCCCCAAAACACGCCAAAAATAACCCCAAACTCAAACCTCTGCTTGGAGAGTAATTCACTCCTGAGCAGTATAAAACTACATGATACCATGCGTGTGTAGTGAGTGCCCACCCATTTCTTTTTGCTGGTTTTCAGACACAGAATTGGCAAATGCTATAAATAGAGTAGTTCTTGGTATAATAGTATGATTATGCTTTACTGTGGACAGGTATTTGCTGAATACATGTACAACTCTTCGCATGAGCTATAAATATATCATAGGCATGTACATGTATCAAATGATTGTGATTACCTTCAGGATCAGTGTTGTTTCCAGGTGATTGTGGTTGTGACCCTGGCTGTGAGCTTGGCTGTGACCCTGGCTGTGAGCTTGGCTGTGACCCTGGCTGTGACCCTGGCACTGACCCTGGCTGTGACTCTGGTTGTGACCCTGGCTGTGACCCTGGCTGTGAGCTTGGCTGTGACCCTGGCACTGACCCTGGCTGTGAGCTTGGCTGTGACCCTGGCTGTGACCTTGGCTGTGACACTGGCTGTGACCCTGGCACTGACCCTGGCTGTGAGCTTGGCTGTGACCCTGGCTGTGATCCTGGCTGTGACCCTGGCTGTGACCCTGGCACTGACCCAGGCTGTGACTCTGGCTGTGACCCTGGCTGTGACTCTGGCTGTGATCCTGGCTGTGAATTTTGCTGTGAACTTGTATATGAATTTTGTTCTGAGCTTGACTGTGAATTTTGTTGTGAACTTGGCTGTGCACTTGGCTGGGAATTTTGTTGTAAACTTGGCTGTGAATTTTGCTGTGAACTTGGCTGTGAATTTTGCTGTGAGCTTGGCTGTGAATTTTGTTGTGAACTTGGCTGTGAATTTTGTTGTGAACTTGGCTGTGCACTTGGCTGTGGCATTGGATGACCACTTCTATTAGGCGGTGCTGCTGTATCTGTGAAACAAGAATCAGATATTTAAATGCAAAATTACCTTTCGCTGATTGAGATGATATTTGCTACATGGGTCTGAAAGGCATGAAAGCAAACCTCAAAAAAGTTTGGCAGGCAGCCCAATCGGCTAGAGGAAACTTCCGTGAAGCGAAACAGGTGGCATCAGGATCATGCTTACGGAACCATCACACAACAAAGTTTTAACTACAGTTACTGTCTGTGTGAGGGAGGCAGAAGACAGCCCCGAGCCACAAAGGAGCACACAGTCACATGATGTGCCCGGAGGTGCCTGGCTGTCACAAAGGACTCATCAATCACCAGTCCTACATGTATAGGTGCCAGCAACTCTCCTTTGCTGAAAGTGCTTCCCCTGTGCTTCGACTATCGAACTTAGGTTTGCAAATTGTGAGCGGTACAATATATGTTGAGTTCCTCCGATTTGAGACTGTAGATAATATTTGCCTTTTTATCATTCTATATATTTATAAACTGTGATTTCGGTCTTTTGTATGTACCATGTCCAATTTTCGTCTGACAGTTGATTGAGGTTTGAAGGCCATTTATTATGTAACTGTTCAGTGTGTGTTGGTTCCCTGTATACTTTAAACTCAGAATGTTGCCATTCTTCCCTACCATGGTTTTTTTATCTAATACATGTATGTCCATACTGATATATCCAAAAACGTATTTTTTTCATAATTCTAACGATATTGTGCCAAGGATTACAACATCCATCTGTCAAAGAAACATTTTTTAAAAATATATTAGATATTTTTAATTCTTCTCAAGTAGTTTGGATTCTGTGCAAAATAAATGAAATTCAGTTGCAAATGATTGAAATATAAGTCCAGGATCTAAACCTATTTTTCTTTTGAGGCACTAGAGGAAGAGCACGGGCTTCCAAATGTTCCATGAAATAATTAAAAATGTGTTTCCCGCACACCGAATCTTCGAAAACTGACTTCAGATATTGGAATTGATGACCTTACATTTTTTTGTTTAGATACACCAAATTTTAGCACATTTTGCATTGAAATGTCTGTTTTCTCGAGTGGGTATGACATAAATAAAACACAACACATTGTATTCTGCATCACCCTTGGTCCCAGCAGCCCTCCCACGGATTGGATCTCCCTCCGGCCTCTGGGCGATCCGACCCGTGGTCGGTCTGGTACACCTTTGCTAAAGATCTGTTTCCTTGATCACATGCATGACACTTCTCCATCTGATTCTGAAATACTTATTAAGAATGACTGATACTACGTAATGTAGATCTTAAGCAAACGTGGTTATTCTACTATCATGATGGCTGCAAAGGGTTAATGCAGTAAGTTGAAATATTCCATAATTAATGATTTCAGATCATTTGGGTGTAATACTTGGTCTCCAGGACCCCGGATGTACAGATTTTGGCAGATAATGGCACAAAAAAACAAATAAACAATTCTAAAAGCCTGTATCATAAAAAAAATGAAGAAAAAAAGCCTTGCGGTATTGGCCAACTCTTCATACCAAATTTCAGGTCATTTGGCCCAAAATAAAGAAAGTGAATCCATTTAAAGAAATGACAGAAGAATATAAACAGATGATATACACATCTACACACTATTCATGATCACCAAATTAACAAAAAAATACCCTTCTCAGCGTCCTGTTTCAGGAAGGCCTTGATGTTGTCAATTGGAGGTGCACACACATCCTGTGGAGGGTATGTCAGGGGGTTTCCAGAAACAGCCAAGACCTCCAGCTTGTCTGCTCGGTGAAGGGCAGTTGGGAGCCTGGTGATGTTGTTGTTCCTGATGTCCAGTTTCTCCATGGCAGGCAGTTCACACAGGACTTCTGGGAATGTGTCGAACCTGTTGTTGAAGAGGTAGACCTCCCGTAGGTTGTGCAGGTGGCTCATGGTACTCGGCAGTGTTCTGAGGCGGTTAAGTTCCAAATGCAAGACACACAGGGGTTGTGAGGATTCCACTTTATCTGGAACAGTGTCAAACTTGCAGTCTCCAGCATACAATGTCTTCAACTTCTTCAGCTGCAGCACCTGTTTGGGGAACTCTTCAAACTGACAGCTGCGGACACTGAGAGTCTTCAGTCTGGTGAGTCGTGTGATGTTATCTGGGAGACGTCGGATGGGGTTCTGACCGACACTCAACACCTCAAGGTTGGACAGATAACAAACCCCTGTTGGAACCTCTGTCAGCTGATTACCACAAATGTACAGTCTTCTCAATCTCTGCAACTTTTCCACACCAGGAGGTAAGGTGGAAAGTTTGTTACTACTGACACCTAACACCTCAAGGTTGGACAGAGACCAAATCTCTGGCGGAACCTCTGTCAGCTGATTACCATAAATGTTCAGGTGTCTCAATTTCTGCAGCTTTTCCACACCAGGAGGTAAGGTGGAAAGTTTGTTGTTACCGACATTCAACACCTCAAGGTTGGACAGAAAACAAACCCCTGGTGGAACCTCTGTCAGCTGATTATCATTAATGTACAGTTCCCTCAAGTTTTGCAGCTTTTCCACATCAGGAGGTAAGGTAGAAAGTCTGTTGTTATGGACATTCAACACCTCAAGGTTGGACAGAGAACAAACCCCTGGTGGAACTTCTTCCAGCTGATTATTATAAGCATACAGGTGTGTTAATTTCTTCAAGGAACCAATCGCCTTTGGCAAACTTGTCAGCTTATTGCCGTCAGCTTTCAAATGCTCAAGTTTCTTCAGACGATCGATCGCGTCCGGGATGCTGGTGAGTTTGTTGTTGGACACATCTAGAACCTCCAAGTCAGTGATATCGAACACCTCCTCCGGGATGGACGTCAGCCCCCGGTTACTCAGGTCAAGTTTAAGGCGACCGTCGACTGTCATCTTAGGCTTCTGCTGTCCACTCAGAAATCCCCCCATGTTGAGTCTTTCCTTCTGTGTAGTGAAACAAATTAATAAAATAAGCATAGGATGGAAACCAACATCACACATGTTTTAGATGCAACTAAGGCCACACCAATTTAATTTCTTGGTTAACGGATTTTTCTAGAAAAATAATGGAGCGGGCGTGTGAGAAAAAAAATAAAAACAGGCCTAGACATCCTATTATGACCCAAAATGGTACAATAGGAGGCATGCATGAAGTCAACACACCAGGCTGGTTCAAAATTTAAACAATGAATTTTGAACTTTTAATGGAACCACTGCATTGAAGGATGGAATAACTGTAACAACTAGGAAGAAAAGGACTGTTTTCAACTGTTCAGGGCAAAATATGAGCATTTTGCGGTTAATTCTGATCCAGAATCTTTTTTTTTTGCAAATCACAAAAAAAAATGAAGCGGGCGAATAATCCGTTAACCAAGAAATTAAATTGGTGTGGCCTAAACACTCATTCACAAACTCATATCATAACACACACACATATCTATGTCAGGGTAGAGATTGCAATCTGGCAGCATTACCAATTCTACCTGATCGCAATCAGCCTCTCTTTCAACAGATATCACAGTAAGAATGATAGAAATGTGTCAGGATGGTCTTCCATTTATTAAATTTAAAGTCAATCTGTTGATCTTAAACTGGAGGATTCGGTGCCCAGGGCGACGCAATAAGGAAGTACTCCCCACTGTGGCTTCTCCAGCAGCTTGAATAGTGAATTGACCCCCATAACCACATAAACTAATAAACATCCTAGACGGTCCAGCCACCGAAAACAATGGCAGGGACAGATTAGCATAATAACTGTCACTCTTTTTGAACAAATTCAAATGTTTTTTCTATACTGGTTTTCAAACTAACAATATCAAACCATGCAGAATGATCGGGATAGTTGTAACTGAGTCACATAAATCAAGAAAATACTATCTGCAACTTTCAGTTTCTGGAAAACCAACTTTGTGGTCAAATTTCAATTTTTCAAACTGTCTTGTCAACATTTCATCAAAGCCTCTAATTATAGATATCTAAAATGTCAACCTCACAACTGAATTAGCTTGGATAGTAAGTGAGTCTAGAAATATGGGTTGCAATTGTGGTGTCAATTTGGTAGTATGAGAAAGCAGCACTAGTATACATGTAGACTGGATCTCTGTTAGAACTGTTCAAGTAACTGCCGGCCAATCTATAACACCACCAAACCTTGGCAAAACAGTACAGTGGTGTAATTACTATATTCTGGGTAAGGTGAGGCTATCTTCTTTCTGTAAAACAGACTGTACATGTACATAAATTCCTTATCTGTCTTCAATATGTTACAACACAAAGTGTCTTCAAGAGCCCTGTGCCCATGTTACCACCACGGTAGTCAGGGACAGAATGGGGCCTGGTAGTTTACGTTAGCCGAATTTATTGGGTTCTTATATAGTGCAAGCCTGCTCTTTAAGTAGTTAAGTGACATGCCATCAAAGTTCTGTCTTTTAAGCGAATATCTTGGATACTTGGACACTTTATTCAGTCCATAAGCTGTCATACACAAATACACGAATATGCAGCTAATCTTCCTGGATCGTAAAAACATAGCAAATATCCACATGCACCGTGAGAAAAATGAATAATATATTATTAAACTCCAATCAGGATTTCTACCGGTAAATATTGTTGATTGTGCTGGCATAGATTCTGACCAAGGAGGTTAATACAAGGAGGTTAAATATGTATTTAACCTCCTTGTTCTGACTGAGTGTGATCTCTGTCAACTCGACAGAGAGTGTCGACACCGGACTGTCCCCACAAAATCTGTGATTCTGTCAGATTGCAATCTTGGCTAATGTTGATATCAACAAGAAAATAGCGCCATTCTATTAATAATCTCACACTTATTTATGTAAGGGCTACCATTATGATAGCGATTTTTTAAAATGCAATGAAGGTGAAAACACATTTTAATGGTTTCCACACAATTAAGGTACATACAATATACAACTGTAACAACAATTAAATACTATGTCATGTATTGCTAACCTTATGGTAGAAATTGCAAGACCCCAGCTGGTACATTGTACATGTTACATGTTAGTTTGTTATTGGTTTCTTATTAACAAAGGTTCTAAATCATTATCATTCTATATATAGACTCCAACAGACTTGGAGGCTGAATATTGGTCTAAAAAAGGATGTAATGTAGTATGTACGCGTGGCTTCAAGGTCATCAACCTCATTATTTACAAAGGGCGTTTGTAATACGATTGTACTCAGTTAACTTTCTGAACATCCCTACATTTAGCAACAAAAGAATGGCACAATTAAAGCAGGAAATCTAAAGGAAAAAGGGACACAGGGGAAAGCAAGACAGACTGTGTGTTGTTTTCAGACTGTATTAATGGTGGACTGTAATTAAACAACTTAACAATTTCACTGTTCCAGCTGTGACCTTTGGGTAGGGTGGAGCCTTAACTGTAGGTGTCAAACTGAGGCCTGAGGCACAATGTGTAGAATTAAAGGCTGCTGAAGGATCCAAAACATTTCAAATCAACACACCAGGGACAGACTGCCAAGTCCATAGGACAATAGGAGGCATGTCTTTTTTTGGTGTGTATTTGGAGATTTTCAGGGTTGGCTGCAATTGACCCCTGACCCGGAGAGACAGCTGTCTCTGACTTGATACCTCCTCCTAATTCTTGTAACCCCCAAGTACCCTCCAGATCAATTTCAGCATATTATTCCCAAAAATTGGACAAACTTCAATGGAGCTGAGCTCTTGAGAAGGATTCAACAGACTTTAAAATCATTTTTGCAATGTGTTTCTGGATACTTGTCAATTCATAACTTTATCAAGTTGGTACAGTTGTTTTCCATTAAATTTTGCTTCTGGATACTTGTTTGTCATTGATTTTCTCAAAAGTGAATTTGATCTCTGGTAGGCATCCCATTAAAACCCACATTTTTTTATAAGATTAAAAAATGGTGCCCTCCAAAAAATTGGCAGCTCTTACGAAATCCAGGCATGATCTTGAAAATAAGTTTTGTAATCTGTGACTGGATAGTTGTTACTCCGTGAAGGAGGTCAGGACCTCCGGACGGAGTGTTGTAATCGGCTGATTTTTCATGTTCGCAGTCAAAACACTGGGTTCTCTTCGTGTAATCGGCACGCAATTTTATACGCCGTCTGCGGGCATGCCCGTGTTGATGCACGAATGTGTATTTTTGCCGTTGCTGCTTTCGCGGTCAATGTAATATCGCAGACGCACCCCTACAATTACGAGGCGAATTGGAACGGTCCAGAAAAACGCGTTGTTTGGAATAGCGGGGGGGGAGGTAAAAGTTCATGCAGATACGGGGTGGTTTTTATAAGTGGTTCCAGATGTTTTTGCCCATGGTTAAGAGATGCCAAGTTTTTTGGAAGATGTTCGCAGCCAAAACGCATTCTGCCGTACGTCGCATATCTGTGTAATTTCGCATGTGGTGTTGCATTATGTCCGGGATGATGCACGTCTTTTTATTTTTACCGTAGCTGTTTTGATATTGGAGTAAATGGTTATTTTCGAAACATCCCTACTTTTACAATCCTGTGGAATAGACCGTAGGTTTAGGCAGTTGTCTGGTAGCAGAGGTACTGTAAGCAGATATCCTGGTTATCTGGCCGGCGGTAGTAACACTCGCGGTGCTTACCGCCACTGTTGCTGGAATTTGGCTTGTTCCAGGCGCGCTTAATTTAATAGGTACAGGCACCGTAAGACGGTGGGGCTGTCTTTGTTACTAGACACGACCATGATAGTCCGATCTTTATGTGAATGCAATGATTGTGTGTGTGTAATTAAAATGAAGTTAGAACTTGAAGCACAGTATCTTTACACGCCCTGGGAGCAGTAATGCATTTAGCTCTTTGTATGTTTTATGCTTGTGACGCGCCCTCATTGTATTAACCGTTGCCTAATTATAATGTCTGCACAGTAGGTCTGGCGTTGACGCTTGGGATTTTGTTGAAATATATAAAACTTCACGGAGAATTGTCGCCTATGGCTTCTTGTTCAATTTTTCACCTAAAACAGGCGACACTTTAATTCCGGACTGACACTCTAATTCCGGACTACCTTTCACCATTAAGACATAGTTTGACAAGGAGACTTAATATTCTAGAATATGTTATATTACTCGCTGAAAGTTACGTAGGTATCATCGATAGGTCCCCTGGGACTAGGTCAGTTCTGCAGAATTCTGCATTCGGATGCAGAATTCTGCACAGAATTCTGCAT